AAAATTACACATAAAACTTTTCTTTTCTTTGTTTTTTTCATCTTAGTTAACAGTATGTTGGATCATCACCCTCTTTATGGAGTAATGATGTGGCAATATTTTATATGGATAAATACTAACTTCTCTTTAATGTAACTTTTAATGCTCGAATTTTACTTTAAATACTTCGTACAAAACTCAGTATGATAGAATGTCAATCTCAATCAACTAATTGATGATAGCCAACGAAACACATCGAGAAGAATATTATTTTTCATAAATTTTTCAGAAGTCCTCCGAGACGGCCACTAGTGGCCAAAAAATTGCCAAAATTACTTACTATGTTTTTCTGCATCATGTGCTCCAAGTTTAAATTACAAAACTTTAGTTTCTCTGTCTCTGTAAACTAATCTAAATTAGACGAATTGTTGCATTGAACTATAAATTAAATTGCACACACTTCTTCTGCTGTCTGTGGAATTACACTGACCTCCTTAAATTTTCATGCCATAATATAAATGCATTCCTTAATAGGATCGAACTATGGATCACATCAGGAATACTCTATTCTCGTTATGCAACATTGATAGGCATAAATTGCTATCATTAATTTTCATTTATTAGTAAAAAAAATGTCAGAACTTGCACAATTATTTAATAAAATTGTCATTGGAGTCCACTAGAATTCACTCAAGAAGGTGGAGCAGATTGAGAGGATTGAAGGGATAGACATCAAGAAAGAAAATCAATTAGAGTTGAATTTTTCCTTTACAAAGAATTTTCATGTGTGTACAAGGAAACTTAATCAAACTGTAAAATTTTCCTAAATTCAACTTTTCCAAAATCAAAACTTACATAATTCAGATTTGTGAAAAAAAATGATGTGGTATTGGACTTCCACATAGGAGTTGGTACACCAGTAATGAAAATAAGGGTGAGATATATTGTTTCTCCCATACTTTCTTTGCCTTCCTAATTCCATGCTTTGCAAGAAAGAACCAAAATTTGAATAGATTAAAAAAAAAAGACAAATGAAGAATAAAAAGAACCAGAAATTGATTAGATTAAAAAAAAGGAGGAAGAAGAAAGAACCAAAAATTTAATAGATAAAACAAAGAAGAAAAAGAAGAAGAAGAAGGAGAAAGAGACACATTATTGTACATATCCATGACATAGCCTCCTTACCAAATCTGTTGTCGTCTTCCCTAATATTAAAAGAAAGGAAAATTTGGCCCGGCATTAGAGCGGAAAAACTCTGCAAGCATGGGGTTGAAGAAAGATTCTTCAAGTCAACAAATGCTAAACTTTGTTTTATGGCTTAAAAATCTACAGTTCCCACGGCTTCTCCTATCCTAATCCAACTGCATGTTATATCCTAAGCCTTCCCAGTAATGTCTTCTTTTTTTATTACAATGTACACATCTATGTCAACAATTGAACACCAATCAATATCTTCTCTCTTTAGTGTTAATTGCGTTCTCAATCATTCATCTCTCTACATGACAATTTATTATCTCATTAGTTTTGGGGGCCTTCCTTATCATCTTTCTCAACTTCCAATCCATGCAAACAAATTTGGGCTAAGATTTTTGGTTTTCTAGCATTTCAAAATATTTAGTTAAATGAGGAACGCTGACTCAAGTATTAATATAACTCATCTCTAGGCGTTTCTTGCAACTCCCCTAGAAGTTTCCCCATGGCCTTCAGTGGCAACTTTGGTCTTAGCTGCTTATCAATCATAAGCATGTAGAAACTTTAATTAGAAAAAAAAAACTCTTCTCCTCAATTCCCAAAAGAATTTGAAGAATCAACTTTGTTAATCTCCTCAATTCTCATATGCTTCTGGGCAAACAAATATAACAAGATGACAAAGTTGCAATAATTGATGGCTTAAATTATATATTATCAATCTCCATGCTATAGCCCATTCACCATAAAAGGAGTGACTAAATACAACTATTCTGTGTCAACTGTTAAGGCCTTCATTCCCATTGCCTCCCCGTAGTTGTAGAGTAGGCGTGGATAAAAAAATGCATGCCTCTAGGCTTCCTGTAGGTAAAATAAAACTTTGCCAGAGCTTTTCAGCAAGTCATGAAAGATGGTGCCATAAATGACAAATCCAACCATTTGCCTCCTTCTAAGAAGCTACATGATGAAATGGACAACATAAATAAATATGTTAATAAATTTCCACCAACTTCTCCACTTGCAATGATAAATTAATGTAATTTCTCAAATCTTTCACGTAACCCTTTGTTATTTTCCTTGTATGTGAACAATTGGTTAGTTATTCATGAAGACTTTTAATAACTTAAAAAAATTACCAATTACCATTGTCCAATATGAAGAAAGGGGACCCATGTCCATGATAAACGCTTGCCAAGTACTCCTTCATTTTTATACATGGTAATTTTTTTTTAAATTTTATGATTATACATGTCATATGACAGGTTGTCAACCTGTGCAATAATAAAAATCTGTTCAATTAAAGTTAATTTTGGTAAATAGTGGTAAGTAGGATCGAATTCACAGGGATTGGGTGTAACTGTTTCTTTTCAAATTCACAGTAACAAAGGGGGTTTTTTGTGCAGAAGGTGACAATCAAAGAAATTCAAATAAAATCTAAGAAATTACTAAAAAATTAAATAACAAATTACTAAAATCAAATGGGTGATAATTAAGGATCTAGCGAAGAAATAACTTCAGCGATGGTGCATCTAATCGATCATCGAAACAAAGGCAATTCCAATTATTTATCAATAAATAGGTTATAATTACCAAACAAACGATGACAGTCAACCCCTCCTTACTGTGTCGGTAATTAAGGTACGCCTGTTAATCACTACTCTAATTGAAAAATAATCTTAGGTACGCCCATAAGATTTAATTCTTCAATTGCCTTTCATATTAGAAGAGTCCTATTCTAACCAAATAACGTACTATCAGGGTTATTTCAGATTAGCCCGCGTATCTCCCTGACACAAACCTAATCATGCCAGTTGTCACTAAATCAAGACAATTAAACAATTACGGATTTAATACCCTAATTGACAATAGATTATCAACTTAACTAATTATCTGGATCCAAGACAATCAATTAATTAAATAATTATAAGTACTGCAATCGAAAAATATGCGAATACCAATAAATAAAAGAAAAAGATAAAATTAAATCAATCTCATAATTTTAGACGAATCAAAACCTCCGTTGTTCCTTGATTAGAAAAGAAAATTTAGCTCATCCCCAATCCGAAAGACCCACACGAAATTGTAAAGAAAGCAGCGGCCATGGTCTCCGATTTAGAGGATCCAATTCGTTCGAATCATGAAATGAAAAGCTAAACTACAAAAGTGATTGCTTGGTTCTAATGGTCCCTGACATCCGCAGGAGCAACTACTCAAAGACGGCAATGGAAAAGTCAAAGTGAAAAGCTAAAGGTAGTGCTTGTTCTCTGCAGTCTAATATCTATCTAGGTCCTACTCTAATGCGTATCTCCTGTGCGGCGGCTCCAGGGATAGAAGTCTCTCCCGCATCTTCGGTTCAGCCGTTGCCAAAAGAAAGGGCCAAAGTTTTCTTCTTTTCCAAAATTGTCCCTCGGATAAGCACTGCTACTTGCATTTCTTTTCTGTCAAATTTGGCACTTATTATCATATTTTTATTTTATTCCCTGAAATAATTACAAATTATGAAAAGTGAGTAAAATCTAATAATTAATCCACATCGGGTCAGGTAATAGGGAAAATTAATAATAAAATAAATGATAAAATTGCAACCTATCATTATATGGACTTGGACCATTTACAAATTTCCTAAAACTTACCACCTATTTATGAATTTTCACTCTTCTCATTCCCTTTTTCCAAAATTTCCCATAAAATTAAATGGAAATAATTGGCTTAATTAATTTAGACAATCTAAATCCTGCGTTATAATAGTATAGCAAAGACAACAGTCCATATAAAAAATTAGTCATACCAACACTAGCAAAACTTGTCCAAATCCTCTGCTCTAAAAGCATAGCAAAAAAAAATCTAGAAAAACAATCAATTATACCAACATTGTACCAAAAATATTAATCTTTTAACTTTTTGCATATGAACTGAGAAGGAAGACCTTGACTTAGATATTGTAATGCTCAACTTTTTAAATCATTCATGATCTCCTATTAGTTCGACTTTTATCATTGATTCCTCAATACTCAACAATCATACTCGTAGAAAATCAAAAGAAAAACAGAAAAAAAAAGTACATACCTTTGGAAGTCTCAAGATTTTCAGCCTCCTCAAGCTTGCTTGTAAAAATTTCAGGTACAATGAGATCATATCCATCACAATTTTGTAATTTTCAGAGTTGTTTCTTATTTCACCAAGTACATAATTTCTTTACTTGGCACAGAAATCTGAGTACAATTGTTGGAGTCTTAATTCGATATTTTTGGAGTTGCTTCTTAGTAGTGAAAACTGACGAAAGTATTATACACTATACTGTGTATTGGCAGGGTCTCAGCGTCTTCAAGATAACTTGGCCTAAAAATATTGGCAAGGTAAAAGGATATCATACTCCATCTTAATTTTGTACTATTGAAGTTTTTTCTCACTGCGTTCATGTTATTTATAGCTTTTCGAGGCACAAAAATCATAGATTTCTTCCTTTTCTTTCAACATGGATTGCTCTCTTCATTCTTCTCGCATCCTTGGCATTTTTGGGCAAGAAAATTGTTGCAAACTTTTATCAACTTTTGAAGATAAAATGTGAACAGAGGGTGTGTATAGGCTGGATCTGAGCCATAATTAGCATATATGTGTGTAGATATGTATACGTGTGTGCGTCTATATATATAGACAGACACACATATATATGTATGTATATGTATGTATGTATGTATTTATTTATTTATATATATTAGTTCAGCCATATTCTTATACATAATCTTGGCTCTGCTCTGCTGTTAGTTCAACTTTTACCGTCCTTTCCACAACACTCAACAATCATTATACATAATCTTGGCAGAGTCTCGAGGTTTTCAGCTTCCTCAAGTTTTCGAGTCAGTTTCGGGTATAATGAGATCATATGCATCTGAATTTTGTAACTTTTGCAGCTGTCTCTTATTTCACCATGTTATAATAGCTTTGCTTGGCACAAACATCTTGATTCAATTATAATTCATTCATCAAAACTCAACGATCCAGATCTTGGTGTTAGTCTTACAACAGAAGAAATGTTTGCATAAAATTGTTAAAATTTTTATAATAGTCTTCTTGATGCACAACAGTTTATGTGCTCTTCTTCCGTATCAAATGGGAAGGTATTAATATCCTTCCTTTCAAGTTTTGAGACACTTTTTATCTTATTCTTCTTCCTCTTTCTTCTTTTTAAAAATAATATATTTGACACATTATTATCCTGACACTTTATTAGGGTACAATTCCAGTTATCTATTTCATTTAAATTTTTTTAATTTGATACACTCAAAATTTAAAAATAGGCAGAAATGAAAAAAATTTGCCTCAGTAATCTATCTGAGAGACTAAAGAAGTGGGATTTCATGCATATTCTGTAATTTTTTTGAGATTCATTTTATTGATGAGATTTGAAATTTACATGGTTCTTCGTATCAGGGTTCTCCAGATATTGTAGTAAATATTTTATTTTTTGCCAATGGGAAGAATCATAGATGAGCTTACATTGCATAAATATTGATTGACTGAGGAAGATTTTTCTTTTCCTACTTACCTATTGTGCTATGACTTTATTAAGCAACGTGCAGACCAAGTTTGATATATTCTTGAATTCTGTGAGGCCTTTAATTGGACAATTTTGTCGAACGAGACGCAATGAGTGTTGAATTCTTATGCTGTCTTTGTTGAACAACGTATTTGGTTGATAACTATACTTTTTAGAGATTCTCGTCACTTGATAGGTAAGGGAGCTCACTGGAAAATTTACAATGGAGGCACTTGGGAATTTGGCACTCGACACCGGAAGGAAGTATGTCAATCTGGGTGATAATCTAAGGTCGCTCGAAACGAAGTTGCAAAGATTAAGCAACAGGAAAATTGACTTCCAGTCGAAAGTAAAAGTTGCAGAAAGATCAGCTACTAAGAAAAGGAAAAGGGAGGTTCAGAATTGGTTTGAGGAGGTAGCAAAAATAGAGAATGAATTCGTTCCATTGAAAAAGAGCATAAAAGAGGGTGGATTTCTAGAAAATGCGTTTAGCAGTGGGAAAAGAGTGGAGAAAATGGACGAGATTGTAGAGCAACTGATGGTGCAAAGTGATAGTGATCATTTTGGTGAGCTTTGTCTTGAGATTTCTGAGAGCAGAGGTGAGCCACGAGAGGCAACAGAATTATTTGGAGAAATGTTTCGTAAAGGTCTGGAAACAATCCCGGCATGGTTGGACACCAATGAGATCTTAAGGATTGGGATATGGGGGATGGGAGGTGTGGGTAAGACTACATTGGCGGAACACATCCATAATCATCTCCTCGAGAATACTCAATTCAAGGTTTATTGGTTTTCTGTCTCCCAAGATTTTACCATCAAAAGGCTGCAAGGTGACGTTGCTAAACGCCTAAGGCTTGATCTGTCAAACGTGGATGATGAAGGAGTAAGGGCACGCAGGTTACGTGACACATTCGAGAAAATGGAGGAAATGGTAGTGCTCATGTTGGATGATGTTTGGGAAGAATTTCGTTTAAACAGCTTAGGGATTGATGCAAGAAATTGCAGACTGATTTTGACTACACGCTCAGAAGAAGTGTGCAACCAGATGCAATGCCATCGCACTTTTGAGTTGAAAACTTTGGACACAGAGGAAGCTTGGGGTTTGTTCAAGCGTACACTCGGCAGCGAGACCTCGCTTGATGGAGATTTGGAAGGCATTGCCAAGTCCATCACGGAAAGGTGTGATGGTTTGCCTCTTGGTATTGTCACAGTGGCTGGGAGCATGAGAGGTGTGAGAGACATCTGTGAGTGGAGAAATGCATTGGAAGACTTGAAAGCATGTTCAGTAGGGCACGATAAGATGGAAAAAAGGGTGTTTCGCATCCTGGAATGGAGTTTCAATCGCCTGAATAAATGTGAAAGGAATTGCTTCTTGTATTGCTGTCTTTATCCGGAAGATTGGAAAATAAAAAGAAAGGAACTAATAGGCCTGTTTATTGGGGCAGAGCTGATGTCAAAACGGGAATCATGGTCAAAAGCATTTGATCAAGGTCAAACGATATTAAACAAACTGATAAAAGTTTGCTTGCTGGAAGAAACTCACGATTTCATTGATGAATGTGTGAAGATGCATGATTTGGTCAGAGATATGGCTTTAAGGATCACGCATGGAAACTCCAAACCAGAGAGCAGTAGAGATGATGTACCACGATTCTTGGTGAAAAGCTTAGGACAGGAAGATTCAATAGTAGCACCGGAACAAGAAGAGTGGACACAAGATCTCCGTGCAGTTTCCTTCTATTCACAAAATTTCAAAGGAATAGAAATTCCACCAGCCTGGTCACCAAATTGTCCTAAACTCTCAACCTTGCTTCTTTCTCAGGTTTTCATAAGAGAAATCCCAGATTCATTCTTTCATCACATGAGTGGACTTAAAGTTTTGAATCTATCTTGGTGCCGAGGTATAGCAGAGTTGCCTAATGCTGTTTCAAACTTGGTGAATCTCACTGCCTTGATTTTGGGGGGTTGTCAAGGCCTCCGATTTGTGCCACCGCTGGGAAAGCTCAAGCAATTGAGGGAAGTGAACCTATCGTGGACTAGAATTCAGGATTTACTGGTCAACCTCGAAAGGTTGGGAGTCACTGGTCAACCTCGAAAGGTTTAACTTGAACGAGTGTCGGAGTTTAAGACGAAAGATAATAGTACCAAAAGGGACATTTTCCCAATTGCACCGTCTTCAACAGCTATTATTGCCACGCTATGGTGGGGTACAAGTTAATGATCCAGAAGTGTTGAATCAATTAGAAAGTTTTATAGGATGTTTGTCTTTTACGAACTTCTATAAAATTACTCGGTGGCCAAAATATTATAATGTTTATATCAATGACATCTTAACCAAGGATCGGGTTCGTGAACTTGATGATTATGGGAACCAGAAAGAACTGTATTTCCATCAGTGTAAGCTTGGTAGAGGATCGAACTATCTGCCGGATGATATGGAAAGTCTGATAATCGATGAGTGTGAGGGCATGGGCATTAGGTACTTGTCAGATGTTTTTAAGAATTTTATAAATTTAAGCGACTTGTTTAAATTGGTTATTGTGTATATGGTTGGAATAGAGTTCCTCTGGCAATTGTCCTCTGCTTCTCCACGTGATCAGTTGGAAGTCTCGTCTTTTAGTCCACTCTGTGGTCCTAAAATGCTAATCCTCTACAGGTTGCCAAATCTGGTTGGTCTTTTTTACGGAGAATCAGAACCATATTTGCTTCCAGCTGGCACCTTTTCTTCCCTTCAAATCTTGTGCATTTCTGGATGTCACAACATGAAGCAGCTATTCACAGTGCAGTTGCTGCAGAACCTTCAAAATCTTGAAGCATTAGTAGTTGAAGATTGTGAAGGACTGGAGGAGATAGCAGCAGATGGCAATGGAGGAGGAGAAGGCATCCGATTGACTTCAAGTGGAGCCACCGCCACTGTCATCATCCTTCCAAAATTTAGGCTGTTGCTTTTGAAAAGGCTGCCACAACTGAAGAACATTTGCAAGGCAGCCATGATCTGCGATTCAATTGAGGAGATTGCAATATTCGATTGTCCAAAGGTAAAGAGGCTGCCTTTGTTTCCTCCTACCATCAACGGACTACCATCTCTTCCCAACACTCTTTGTAAAATCAGGGGAGATAAAGAATGGTGGGAATCACTAGAGTGGGACAACCCTTGTGCCAAAAATGCCCTTGACCCATTTTTTACCACACAGGCGCGAAGTTCGTTTTTTCGTTGAAGACCACCTGTTTGATCAAAATCCTGCCTGGTTCTCATGTACGTGTTTTCTTCCCTTCCTTAAATGTTACCAACTATCCCCTTCTTTTGAGCATTTTTTTCCCCAAGATGATCTGCTTCTCCACTAGCATAGAATTTGCTATTGTGTAGGAATCGAGATTAACACTTTTTGTATTGAGCTCAAGGTTTTTTTTTTTTTTTTTTTTTTAAACTTTCTTGAGGTGCAGAACTGCTAACACCTTTTGAGTTGTTCCGATGGGAAAATGGATTTAAGTACATTAGTTTCTCTTCTTTCTTCTTATTTATTTTTGAGTTCAACGTCGTTATTTTTTACATTAGTAGAATTGCAAAGTAATTTACATGATCGTACCATGGATGAATTAGCTTTGTGTTTCTGACTATACTGATCAACTGTTATTTGTCAGTATTTCTTAGGTTATAGGTAGCCACAAAATTGCCACTGCAAGAGGAGTGATGTTGCAAAAACAAGTGTTAATTGAAGCCTTGTCCACCAGTACAAAAATTCCTTTCAAGACGTGCTTCTTCTTTCGCTGTATTACAGTTGCTATTTTTCATCATCTTTAGCTTTCTATTCCTACCTAGATGGTGTTTTTTCTGTACATGATTGTAACTGGAGCAATGATACAGTTTTTTGCGACTATTCCTTGATTACCAACAAAACTGTTTTGGGGTATTATGCCAAAATTTTTTGTCATATAGTACCCCAAGAATGTGATTTCGCTCTACCAATTTAAACCTTTCTAGGTGCGTGCTTTTTCCAGATTTCCATTTCAAGCAATTATATATCCCGTTCCACTGATAATTCTTTAGTTGATTCATCAGGCAAGATGGAAATGTTGTTTAACGTTTTCATGTTATAATTGCTGAAAGCTAGTTTTTCAGCTGCAGATGATATGGAATTCTGGCAAATTCTATTGCAGCACTCATTAGTGGTATCAATATTATTACATGTATCTAGAGGTCTTAATGAAGCCAGAACGCTGTCAACCTTATGAACATCTACAGTAGGGCACGAAGCTGCAGCAAGATTGCTTAGGCCTATTGAGCATATCATGTCAAGGTTCTCATTGGCACCTTGACTTTCAAGGATCTTATCAACATCTGAAATGCAGTAACTGGCATTCCAGTATGGTTGCTTGACTGTCCAAGGAGAACTACAAGGCTGGCCTCATATTGAGGACAACAAACCACATTTGCAAGATATGGTGCAAGGGAAGACCAGCAATCAGTTGCTATCACACTCAATATACTTTCAGCTGAAGAAAAATTCAACATAAAACATCCTGAAAAATCAACACACAATCAATCAGCAATTAATAACAACCTCTTATGTAGGTGAACATGAAGATTAAAGCAACTTCAAGATGTAGAATTTTTATTTTTTTTTTGGGATGAATGTTGTCATCAAAACTCAGCCATTCATCTGCCCTTCCATCTTTGTACATCAAATTCTTCATCAATCGGAAGACTTGATACAACCAGTTCAGGTGCAACTCAATCACAGAACTTTAATGTTTTATGTAACAATGTACAAGCCTAAGATATTGCTAATAAGTGGTAAAGCTTCACCTCCATGAAAGACAACTTATTCTTACACAGAATTTTGTTTCTGGTTTCTAACATGGTAGGGATATATTGAACTCAAAATCCTGAACTGGTGGGCTATCTTGGTCAAAATAAGGGCCTTGTTAACTGAGAACACGTGCATGTGGTACTCTATCTACATTTCGCAATAACACACACACATTAGGCATTCTTATTCAAACTTCAGTAGTAGCCATCAACTGGCCATGATATAAGCTTAATGTATCTTGAGAAACTTGATGGCAAAGTAATTGAATTGCAACTTCAACTGCCAAGTGTTGGATTATGATATGTATTGAACTAGCAGTACAATTCTTAACTCTTAAATTGTTGTAAAAACTTGAGCAGTGGTTTAAAATTTCATGCTTTGGAAGATTTCACATCAATCAGGCTTTAGGACTGGGAATTGATTAAGCGAGTCATTCAATGTTGTAGTGCCTGAATTTGGATTCTAACTCTTTTGCTACAAGTCAGGTATATGTTTCTGAAAGAACAAACAATTGATAAAGATCTAAAGTGCACATAACTTTGTAAAATTAATGATTCTACTAATACTGTAAATGTTACAATAATAATTCAATGCATTCTGAAACTTTTCATCTCATCAATCCTCTTTCTAATAGATTCAATTCATAGTTCACTGTTTGATTATAGCTTGCATTCCTTCCAGACAAAACAGGTACTGCAGAATTCCAAATCTCAATGACCCTTTTTCTTAATTTTCAAATCTCAATGACTATTTTAGCAGATGCATCGTCTCAGTAGCATATTAAACTGAGATCACTTCTTTTTAAACTCACATCAAAGTAGTTTAGCGAAATGATACAGTCCATATGATCAAGAGATATTGATTGTGTTAAATTTAGCTACAAGAAATGCAAAATTGCAACTAATAAACAAACAGGAAAGCATTCAACAGGAGCAGTACTCACAGATATTAAGCAAGAGTAGATGAAGAAGAATCATTTCTGGCACAACTTCTCTCGTTACTTCACTTCTGTAAATTGAATGGATTTCGAAATATAACCAGAGAAAATGCTTGCCCCGAGCCTCTATTTGCGTTTATCTCTATATGAACACATGGAGCTCTCGGCTCGACCATTCTACCTATATATGATTATAGCTCCAGGGGCGGCCTTGGCCTCACCAGTGTATTTGGAAATTGTGCGATTTTTTCTGAATGATTGATATTGTGAGTTATTCATATAGTACTTGTGCTTTACATGTCGTTCCTTTTTACATACGTGACATAAATTTAGAGTGCTAGTATCTCTACACTGATGTATAAAAACTTAATTTTTTAGGGTAAATTACTTATTACCCCCTGTAGTTTTACATAATGCTAGATAACTCCACTAAAGTTTTAAGACACCCACATAACCCCTGTGATTTTATGTCAAATGAAAAATGGACTAAATGCACAATTAGTTACGACGTTTATACCAAATGCACTCTAAAAGTCTGTGTGATAAAATCATAATGTTCATGCAATCCTCTTATGATTTGTATAAATATTCACTTTGCCCCCTGTGATTTTTGTATATAACCAAGTAATTTCCCCTATATTTTTATACAATATGGTTAAACTATCGATTGATTTAACATTTAAATAAATATACTATTGGTATTTCAACTAACGACATTATATAGACTATTTTCCGTCAAGTTTCTACTTTACATAAACTTATAAGGGGGTAAAGTGGACATTTTGAAATATTAGATAGATCATATGGTAATAAAAGAAACCACACAGGGTTATATGTAATTTATCCTTTTTTTTAAAAAAAAAAAAAGTATAAGTAGAAGAATGATTATCTCTGCCCAACCACCCCAAAATCTATGTATTCTAGTGTCCCAAGTCCTCTAACTTTGTGTTGCATTAAAATTTACCAAAAAATAGAGTACTTTTCAAGTTACAAGAATGATATTTTATCTCACACACTTCACTCTATGTGATAAAAACAAAGCAAAAAATTGTCTACCTCTCTCGTTTTTCTATCTATTCCCACGTTATGTATGCATTCTCTATCATATATGAACTCTCGTATTTTCTCAATCAGTTTCTTGAACCTCAACCCTGCTAGATTTCCAACCCTTTGCAACTACGCACAAGTCTCAAAAGGTGGCAAGTGACAGCTAGATGCCAGGATTTGTCCATTGCTTGAATGTGAGCACTTTACTGCGAATTATGGTCTCATGATACTCACGTGCTGACTAACCAGGTTTGTCCATTGCTTGAGTGGCCTAAGGAGCCACCGCTTCCTCCGGTGGTCAAGTCTTAAAGCAGGAAATGCAAAACAAAATCTTTTCTTTTTTTTTTTTCTTTTATGGGTTGTTTTGTAGATGGGTTTCAACCCCCTACTATGGGTTTCAAATTCAATTATACCCATACATGATATTTGCTTGGAGCCAATGAGAATAAATCAATGGGAATGATAGGTCTCTTCTATGAGTTTTATCAGCTCTAATTAGGGAACCATCTTAGTTAGTCATATTATTCTCCTTAAATGTAAAATAAGAAAACAAAATGCCACCGTTTCTGCTGGTTTCAACAAATGAAAAAGAAAAGAAAGAAAAAAAGAAATAATGAAAAAGAAAAATAATAAATTGTAAAACACTAAAACACATTCCACATTAACAAACACACTGTGAGTTTTCATCAAAATTCATCATCATTGACCACCGTATAATACCAATGGTGATAGTGATTGTAGAACTCCAACCAAACGACTCCTAATATTATCTTCATGTTTAGGATGCGTAAAGTCAGATGGTTGCCTGTAATCTGGACCCAGCCCTCAACAGAAAAGAAGGTTTGCTTATGATTTGATTTAAAAAAAAAAAAAAAAAAGTCAGCAATAACTTGTCTACCAATAGATATAAAAATCACAGAAACTCAACTCATCAAGTAAAATGACGGTGTCAAAATGGCACAAATTGGAATCATACTTAATTAAGTGAAAAATGCAAACTTGAAACTAGATAGATTTCTGGGAAAACCCAAGTACTGAAGGCGTGGTCTTAAGCTCTAGGTTCTTATGTTGTAAGGATACGCCTTTGGTGCGACAGCATTAGTCAGGCCCTCGCTAAATGGCTTGTCTTATAGCTAGATTGGGACTTGGAGGAGGCTTGCCTATCTTTCAATTGGGAGCTCAGAAAGTTGAGGAAATTTGGAATGATTGTGAGCTAATTGTAAATTACACAACAAAACAGTGAGATAAAGATGCCAATTTACTGACTCTAAATCCTTTATCCTACTTTCTATGCCAAATTCTGTTTTAATCTCTATTTTTTTTCATGACATGTGAATATAATACATGGTTTTTTCACAAAATACAAAAGTGTTGCATGTAAAATAACACGACAAAATAATTAGATGAACATTGTGTCTTAAAGTGAGATGGTGAATCTAAAGCCCATACTACTCTCTAAATCCTAAGGGGAAAAATTATGAATACAAATAGGTACAACGTCGTCATATTTTTTTGTCTAATATTACCAAACAAGACAAAGAGGTCATGCATTTTTTCTTTTCCTTTAATTAATTATTGTGTTTGACTAATGGGTGCAACCTTTAAAAGGTGCCTCAAGTGTCAATTTTGGCAAAAATGTAATTAATTTGATAAAGTGCCTGCAAATTACTTCTAATAAATTAGGAAATTTTATGTAAGAATCATAACATTTCGTGATTCATTGGGAAATCCCCTTTGATTCTCTACCAACCAGTAATATAGGACCATTAACATGGTTAAAATAAATTGTTTCAAGTTTAGATTTAACATAGTATTCTTTCTACCACTATGTTAACATAGAGATAGTTTAAAATAAATATTTATTCATAGATAATATTTCTATCGATATGAAACGCTTATTGTAAAAAAGAAAAATATGAGCATTTGGCTCTTTTATCCTCTTTTGTCCAATGCTCAATATATGACCTATATGTTATGTATAAATAATAAAATTTTGGATTTGAAGAAAAGAAAAAAAGCAACAAGTTTGCTGATAATTACATTTTTTATCAGAAAGAATCTTGTCAATATCTTAGTCTGGCATTAGTTTAAATATTTAAGAATATGAACCAAGAAGAGAAGATAGGCTAGTCATTACATTTATAAAAAAAAAATACGCGACTTTATTTTTAATTCTAAGTAATTGGGTGTGAGAGCAAAATAA